TCTTTTCGAGTGTCCTTCTTCTCCACATATAAATCAACTTGTATTGTTTTTGTCAAACCTTTTCCTTGACTTAGATCTGTCCTTGCCGTTAGATTTACCTCTTCATTGATTTGATTTTCCATCATAACCTTTTTTCTTTTATTTTCCCCTTGATTCAACGTATAAACCCTCTGCGTCCGAGCTGGATTTGTTCAGCAATCCCTTCTCCTTATGCTGAGTTAATCACATCGTTCATAGTAAGAGTTACTTTTGCAATCCCATACTTGAGCGTGTCAACTAGTGAATCAAACTACTGGGGCAAGCTAGATAGAACTTGAATTTCCTAGTCTTCATCGCTGATGTTGATGTTAAGACATGCAAGATCTGAAACTAGCTTGAGAAAGTATCTAGGTTTTCTTCGATGTTCTTGTGATCTTCCATCTTGAAGCTCGCAAACCTCTGCTTCATATAGATCCTATTAGGAAGTGTCTTCGTTTGGTAATCTCTTTCTAAAGCCTTCAAAACTCCTAACACATTTGTTTCCTTCATCACCTTACGTAGAATCAAATTTCCTAGGCTCAAAGATATTAGATGCTTTGCCTTCTTGTCCTTCGAACGGATCTATGTTCACCTCAGTTAGTTCTTCGTCTTTCTCCTTGCATGTTTCAGAAGACGTGACCATAACTTTCCTGAATCGTAGAATCTAACCCTAGAAGCTCTAACTGCATTAGCATCTTATACTTTCATAACCCTAAATCACCTTTTCCATCAAACTTCTCAACCACAAACTTTTTCGTTATCGATTTCATATCTTCTCCGAGCACTTGCAATCAAAACTAGGATTGCCCTGATACCACTTTTTAGGATTTAAACCTTGCTTAGTATTTTAAATTTAGATTGAAATCAATATCAAAAGCTCTATCCTTTTATTCACTATCAATGAATATCCTTACAAGAACTAATTTATAAAGCACAACTTAATTAACTTAAAACACAAGACTAACCGATGAATTAGTAACTCTCTAGATTTTTCTCTCACTCTTTAGCTCTAGATCTTGTTTGCTTCTCTTTTTGGATGATCTTACAACCTTGTTCACCTCCTCTATATGCTAATAGAGTCACCGACTTTTCTCTTCCTATTCCATATTGTGTTTTGTAAAGTCTTTGACCGAGATCAACCGAAACGGAAACTAACGTCTTTCCCTTAGTTCTTTTTGTGCAGGGTACTTGTTAGGTTGGAACTGTAGTTGAGCCAAAACAGAATTAGATCTTTCTCTACAAAAATCTTTCAGTGTTAATATTTTAAAATAATTTTATAAATAAATCAATAAATAAAATTATGAATACTCGACTGTTGCCTGATGATTATGATATTTCACGCAATTCAGGAGAAGTCGAAAATCTAGTTAATTCAACATATATTTTTTTTGCTAAGAAAACTCAACATATATTGTTAACTTTTAATATATTGTTGATTTTATAATATAATTGTTACAATTTTGCTTTTGAAAAAGGTGTCGGTAGTTCACAAGAATCTCTCGTAAACTTTCTTTATTCTATTTTCAAATGTTCTTCTGTCTTCTAATATTTTAATGCCTAGGCATCACCGCTAAATCTTGACACTATATTGAAATCTTCGAAGGAATGTCAGACCGTTCATCGGTGGCCGTGGAAACCTGATCGATTTTAAAAAACAGTTATATTTCTGTACTATCATTACAACAAAATGACTCAAATAAAACGGTCTACTAATTTGATTTTTAGGATGTTCTTTCTAGTAAAGGGATATAGAATGAACCATTATGTATTTAAAAGTCATATTCGATACTGCTTATTTATATAAATACTAGGTGATTTTACCGTGTTCATGCACATATATAAATATTTATAAAATAAAAAAATCAAATTAGTAAAAAATATATATATATATATATATATATATTATAATAATTATTAGTAAATATTATTAGTAAATATTTATAAATATTTATAAAGTAAATATATTATAATAATTATTTAGCTAAGACTACTCGATCCTTTTACCGTGATCTTATGTATGTTGGTTGTTCTATTCCGATCTGGATTCCCAAACCACCTCAAGCTTGAGTAATAGATCAATCTTTTGATATAAAAAAAATATTATAATAATTGATTACTATTTACTTTAGTTTTAATTATAATGTGTACATAATTAAAATTAATTTATTATAATACTTTAATTTAGACATATAATTTTATATATGTCATATTTTATGCCTTAGATTTCTTAAAAAGTAAATTGAAACATATTTTAAACAATCTTAAAAATTATAATTTAGATTCACTTGATTATTTTGATTATTTATATATTAAGTTCCACAAACATAAAATTAAAAGAGCAAACTAAATATTAAAATGAATTTTTAATAATGATAAAATATAATATTTTCATTTCATTAATAGTGTATAGTGCTAGCCTATTTAAAAAGATTTTGAATTTATTTTATCCAAATATTAATTTTTGTAAAAACATATTTTTAGTTTCCTTTTTAATATCTCTTAAACAAACACTAAATATGTTATTTAAGGAAAATTTCGCAAAAAATTATAAAATTTCGTTTATATATAAATATTTATATTTCATAAATATTTCCTTATTTTTGTGTTTTAAAAAAGTAACCTTAAATTAAAAAATTAATTAAAATTTTATTATGAAAAAAGGAAATACATTATTAATATCAATCTTATTTAATATTTTTCATTCATTAAGGATATCTATGTAATCAACTCCTAGATTTTGACCCGCGCTTGAAAAGCACATAAATTTTTTATAACTAAAATTTATATAATTGGGTTATGTCTTAATTTAAATAATGTTTTGGTATAAAATCAGTTTACCAAAATTTGTGGTGACGATTTTTTTCATTAGTTTTTAGTTTCAGTTTTATTTTCAGATTTGGGTTTTTAGTTTTTAAGTTTCTATTTTGATTTTCAGCTTTTGTTTGGATTTTTAATTTTTAGATCCGTTGAGTTAGTTTGAACTGATATTACCAACAAACAAATCTCAAATAATCGAACATCTAATTTAAAACTGAAAAGATGACAAAAAATGTTTAAAAAAAATTTGCAATAGCTTATTTTGTAAATAAACAAAAGCAAAAACTATAACAATATGTTATCCACAACAATACGTTTTTAGCTTTTGGTTTTGGATTTTAGTTTTTAGAATTGTTTTTTGTTTTGCTTTACATTTTTTTTTAAATCAGTAAATTATTTAAGAAAAATAAAAAAATAAATTATTTAAAAGTTACCATTGAAATTTATCAAAAAAAAAAGTGATGGTTATTTAAAATAAAAAAAGACAATAATATTTTTTAAAGTACATGATTTAAATAAATGATTAATAATAGACAATTTTGTTTTGTTAAACATATTAAATACATTTGGGCCTGAAAATAATAATTGATTTTTTTGATCCATTAAGATATAAATTTTATTCAATGTTTTTTGAAGTTTTTCCTTAATAGTAAGCCTAAAAATCAAACCATATAATTTGTTCTAAAAACAAAAGTAAGCCCAAGACTATATCCCATAAATAACCATCGGTTTAATTTAAGTAATGCGGTTCAGTTAACTATTTGGCTTATTGTAACACTCTAGAAAGAGTCCAAAATTAAATGACAATTTGTATTAGTAGATAAAAAGAAAGACTTTATTTTAATAGAGTAGACTAGATTTTGACCTGCGCTTGAAAGCGCGAAAATTTTTTATGATTAAAATTTGATATAATTGGGTTTTGTCTTAGTTTAAATAATTTTTTGGTATAAAATCAATCACCAAAATTTGTGGTGATGATTGTTTTTCATTAGTTTTTAGTTTCATTTTTAATTTTAGATTTTGTTTTAAAATTTTGGTTTTTAGTTTTAAGTTTATATTTATGATTTTCAGGTTTTGGTTTGAGTTTTTTAATTTTTAGATCCGCTGAGTTAGTTTGAACTGATATTACCAACAAACAAATCTCAAATAATCAAACATCTAATTTAAAGCTGAAAATATGACAATTTTTTTTTAAAAAAATTGCAATAGTTTACTTGTAAATAAACAAAAGTAAAAAATATAACATGTGTTTTCAGCTTTTGGTTTGGATTTTAGTTTTTAGAGTTAGTTTTTGGTTTTGCTTTACATATTTTTTTAAATCTATAAATTATTTAAGAAAAATAAAACAATAAATTATTTAAAATTTACCATTGAAATTTATCAAAAAAAGTGATTGTTATCTAAAATAAAAAATACACTAACATGTTTTAAAGTATATGATTTAAATAAATGATTAATAATAGATAATTTTGTTTTGTTAAAAATATTAAATTTTGGGCCTGAAAATAATAATTGATTTTTTGATCTAGTAAGGTGGAAAGTTTATTCAATGTCTTTTGGAATTTTCCTTAATACTAAGCCCAAAAACCAAACCATATAATTTGTTTTAAAAACAAAAGAAAGCCCAAGACTATATCCCATAAATAATCACCGGTTTAATTTAAGTAATACGGTTCAATTAACTATATGCTTTGTATTTTTTGTAACACTCTAGAAAGGGTTCAAAGTTAAATGACAACTTGTATTAGTAGATAAAAAGAATGACTTTATTTTAATAGAGTAGATTTCCATTGGTTTCATATAATTATTAAATTTCCATTTTTTAAGGAATTGTTAAGATGCTAAATGGTATATTACGATTTCCACATTAATATAATTAGTAGATTTCCATATTCCATATTTGATAATATATATTCTTTTAGAACATTTCATATTTGTAGGAGAAAATATGTGTTTTTGGTATACACATAGATATCTGCCGTATTTTGAAGATAGTTTACATTAAGGTTGCCATGTTACATTAATTGTGTTGGTTTAATTTAAGTAATACGGTTTAATCAATTGTAAGACTTATATTATTTGTAACATTCTAGAAAGGGTTCAAATTTAAATGACAACTTATATCAGTAAATAAAAAGAATGTCTCTATTTTAATAGATTAGATGGTAAGAGTTAACGTGAGCACGACACGTAAGAAACTGACTTCTCAAATAATATTATAGAGATATTACACAATTTACAATATTCAAATGAGCCCCTTGGAAACTAAAATCCAAAGAGGTTAAACATTGCAACACAAGTGATAAATTCTTCGGTAAACATTCAAAGGAGCCATTTTTAATCTTTCTCATATTTAATGATTTTTCAAGATGATATAGTCCTTCTAGTCGAACTAAAGCCTTGATCAAGGAGTCATGGGGATAACCAGAAGATTGCCTAATTTGTTAACACTTGTATGATCTTCCTCTTCCTTTCCTTCTTCCACCGTATTTGTAGGTAACTTATTGATCTCACAATCATCTGTTTGTTTGCTTTTACTCCATAAAAATACGTATAAGCCGATCACCACCACCACAGAGCCGATCACGCTGCATCACAAAAAAAAAAAAAAAAAAAAAAAAAAAATTTAAAAA